CTCTAGGCGGGCACCATCAAAGCCTTCAATGTTGACCTTGCGCTCTATCAGGTGTCCAGTCAGGTAGCCTGGTCGAATCAAATTGGTGTCAGCGCTGCTGTCAATCAGAGCACGAGCCAACTTGCCGTTGATCACCACATTCTTGCGAAGCAGCTCCCCTTGGCGCGACTTGCCAGGGTCATTTGCGCCGATGCGAGCCATGTTGAAGTGAATCACTCTGGTCACATGAATGCTGTCAGCGGCTTCAGCAGGAGACACGTGACGGGAAGGGCTTGAAGTCATCTGCGAGACGTACACGCGCCTGTTAGCCGACGCGTTGCCGCGTTTTGGGCAGCGATTGAGCATGTTCCCTGCTTGTTTACAATAGAAGCAGAGACGTTTGCGACGACACTCCTCGCGTGACACCTGCACTGTGCCAATTTCCATGGGCTCTGGCTGGTTATTCTGATGCGGGTATCTCGGACGTGCGAAGCGAGCTTGCGGGTGTCCTCGCTGTGCCCAGCGGCTGGTACCTTCGTTGCGATCGGGATAACTGTTTGGGTGCGAGCGCTCATACTGCTGAGCGACAGCCATAGCGTCCGAAACTGTTTGGCACCGGCGATAAATGACTTCTTCTCTTGTCTTCTGCACGAGGCCCAGGTGACCTGGTCTAAGTCGCCCATACCTCGAATCTGCGAGAGCAATTGTCGAAATTGAGCGATATAGTCATCCAGGTCGGAACATTTTCGTTCTCGCAGCTGCTGTAGCTCGCTGCGGAGCCGTTCTTGAAGGTCGATAGGTACGAACTCACGACGGAGGCCTTCGGCCAGCGCATCCATCGTAGTCAGGGACGACTTCGACGCGTAGTACCATGACGCAGCAGGCTCCTTGAGATGGGAGGCCACCATAGCCACGATTCGTTGCTGATTGTGGGAAGCGTTGTAGTCGATATTCTTCGCTTCCAAGTACATTAGGACCCGATCCGGGAAGAGGTCCAGCGACTCACCCTTCTTGCCGGAGAACGTCGTCAGGGACATGCCTTCGACTCGGCGCTCATTTGACGGATTGTTCGAGAGGGTGTTGACGAGATTGCGCAGCTCCTCTCGCTGCGACGCCATCGTCTCCACGAGACGGGCGATTGCGTTCATTGGATCCCAAGCAGGGGCGTTCGGCTCCATACTGCTCACAGGTAGGCGTGGCGACCTACGTCTTCTTCACACAGGCGGGCAGCGGCTCGCACCTGGTCACCGGTTCTTGTTCGTCGACAAAAGTACTCCCAATCCTCCACGGACGGAAGCAAGTGCTACCAGTTGTTGCACTCCTCGGGGCTCGGCCAGCCGGATGCAAACTTGGAGAAGCGTGGACGTCGAGGCGAGGCGGAGGTAGAGAGGCTTGTAGAGGAAGTAGTCGGAGTTGGATGCGATTGGAGACTTGAGGACTTGAGAGGAAATGTGAGAATGATTCATTTTTGTTTAGAGTCTGCTATGGAAGCGAGAAAACCTTCAGCACTGCCAGGACATGTAGGAATCTAGCAACTCATACAAATAGACTGTTACCCATTGCACCTACAGGGTGCATACTTGAATCTGCTCAGTCCGGTCCAGGAGCAATTCATCTTGAAGCCATAATTTGAGTCGAGTAAATCTTCGACCTCCGAACCGATGAGAAAATGCAACAGTTCGGGTGTTGAATTTAAGGACTGGAAATATCGAAGAGCGTCGTTCGGTGGAGTTTGATGAGGGATGGACTGTTGAGCGCTCTTATGTAGAGCACCTGATTGCGAATCGTTATCAACGTGGTCGCAATGTCCTTCCTGATGTTATCCCGCTTGTACGTCTCCCGGTTATGGCTGCAGTGACTCATGATGAGCTGGCGCCCCTCCTGCAAAGTGCCAACGTCTGGTGCCTTTGGTTGATGGTCATGACTTGCATGCAGTGGTGGAGCAGCCTCCGGTCAGCATGGGATTGCCTGTGTCTGAACCGAGGAGTGAGCCTCCAGCGGAAGCATCCCCTGCTGCTGTCCAGTTGTCGCCTGCAAGCGCGCCGCAGCAAGCGAGTGAAGCCTTGGCGGCTGTTGATCAGGATCAGCACGAAAGTGACTCTGAGGAAGTTGAGGGCGTACTTAACCGTCGTCGCTCAGTTTCTTTGAGAGAGTTGCCGATTGTTGATGACAACCAAGACGAAGACGGAGATGATGTTGCAGAGAGTGATGAAGTTGTCGCTTCCAGTGAACCGGTGGAGAGGGCCGAGAGCTCAGTGGGAGAAGCACTTCTGTCGTCAAGTAGTGATGATGAAGATGATGATGATGAGGAGGACACCGGTGCAGGCGCATCATTTCGACGCTCGACGCGCATTCGCAAGCCAAATGTTCGCTACTGTGATTATGATATTGAGCTCCCAGAGAGTCTGGTTATCCAAGCAGCCAACTCGATGCTGGAGCCAACATCCGCGGATGCTGCATTGAATGCTCCGGATGCAGAGAAGTGGGTGGAAGCGTTGTACAACGAGTTTGGTGAGCTCATTCGTAACAACACCTGGGAATTAGTGGAAAGGCCGAAGGGAGCCAAGGTGCTGAAGAGCAAGTGGGTGTTTGTTCGCAAGAGAAATACCCGAGGTGAGGTGGTCCAACACCGTGCTCGTATCACAATAAAAGGGTGCCAACAAAAATATGGGCTGGACTACTGGGAACCCTACGCTCCGGTGGTGAGTGCAGAGGCAGTGAAGCTGGTGCTCCTGCTTGCATTGGACTATGGATTGCTGGTCCGCCATGTTGATTTTGTCACGGCATTTTTGAATGGCCCCATTGACTGTGAGATTTACATGGAGCAGCCCGACTTCTTCGATGATGGGTCTGGGCGCGTGTGGGCTGCTGAGGAGCTTGTACGGTCTCAAGCAGGCCCCACGGATATGGTATCAAATGCTGGACAAGTATTTGCGTGAGTGCGGGTTTCAACGTTCAAAGATGGATGCTGGCATTTACTTTCGATGGGTGAAGGGCAGTCCTATCTTTTTGACTGTTTACGTTGATGATATTGCGATTGTTGCTTCGAACGAGAACTGCTTCGAAGGAGAACTGCTTCGAAGGAGAACACGGAGCTGGTGCTCGGTGAGCTCGAGAAGAAGTTCGAGATTAAAGACCTTGGTGAGGTCAGCCACTTGTTGTCCATGGAGATCAAGTACGTTCCGGGGAAGATGCTGTCTATCTCGCAGCGTGGTTACATCGACCAGCTGCTCGAGCGTTTTAAGATGGCCAAGTGTAAGGCGGTGCCGACTCCGCAGGCCAAGGGAAACTTCCCGCTTCCGGGAGATCCGGATCAGGAGCCTGTATGTGTGAACATGGATCCGGATGTTGATTATCAAAGTATTGTGGGTTCATTGCAGTACTTGGTTGCTGTTTGCGGCCGGATATCGCGAACGCCGTGCGGACGCTCGGCAAGTTTCTCAACTGCTACACGAAGGAGCACTTCGTGTTGGCCAAGCGCGTCCTCCGGTACCTGCAGGGTACGCGTGAGTTTGGCCTGGTCTGGTACAAGCCAGAGTCGCCTGGGGATGCAATTGGTCGCTTTTGCAGATGCAGACTTGGGGAATGAAAAAGATGACCGTCGATCAATCACAGGGTTTGTACTGCAGTTGAATGGTTGCACTTTTGCTTACAAGAGCAAGAAGCAGTCTATTATGACGGACGACACGTGCTGCGCCGAGTTCGTGGCTGCTAGTGAGTGCTCCAACATGTTGATGTGGACGCTCAACTTGTTCAAGGAGCTGAAGGTCAGACCGACGCAGCCGACGGTTCTCTATGACGATAACCAAGCTGCGATTCAAGTGATTGGTCAAGTGAGCAGCAGCTACAAGGTCAAAAGCGTGGATCTGAAGTTTCACAAGATCCGAGACTTTGTGGAGCGGGATGTGTTCGAGGTGAAGTACTGTCCGAGCGAGGACAACATCGCGGACATCTTTACGAAGCCGCTCGGACCGCAGCAGTTTTGCAAGCTGCGCCAGCGCCTGAACGTGTTGCCCGTGCCGGACAGCGAGTAGTTGCGCGCGTCAAGCACAACTTTGGCTCACGAGGAGTCAAGCAACACGAAGTGGGAGTGTGAAGTATTGTGACCCGGCAGTGGGTTCGGTCGTGTTCCTGTTGCCTCCTGTCGCAGTTGAAGCTTTGCTCTCAGGCATTATCGCCCAGTGTAGTTCACTTGAGTTAAGTATTGCATACTATAGCCTACTGATAACGGAGACTGCACTCTGGCGCGGTTCTCTCGCAATCCCAAATACGCTGAGTGGGCGAGCACTGCGTCGTGGTCTTCTGCGCTTATCGTCACAGCCCCGAGACCGAGTACATGCAGTGCTAGAGACCCGAGACACCGAGTACATGTAGTACTAGAGGCCCGAGATCGAGACCGAGTGCATGCAGTACTAGAGCCCCGAGACCGACAATGAGTACTTGTAATACTAAAAAACGGTATTTAGATCAGTCAGATCTTGTTAGTAGGAAGCCTGCTCCACGTCCTGCTCCACGCTCAACGTCCTGCTCCTTCTTGAGATCCATCTCCCCCTCTTGCTCTACAGCCACCACCAGCTCCACGTCCAGGCCCCATGAACAACTTTAACTCGAGGACCATCTCCAGCGCCGGGTTCAGGTGGTCAGCAGCAGCAGTCGTCGGCGTCAGGATTCACCGCGATCACAAGGATGCCAGAGACCTTCATGTGAAAAACATAGGATGACAATAGGAAATGATGTCTCCAGCCCGTAGTTGCTGCTCCCCATTCTCCCTGATCAACGCAGCAACACTGGGAAGCTAGTACTTTTGTCTCGTGGCTTTAGCATTTCCCCGTCGAGAGCGCAAAAACCAATTCAAGACACTCCGTTGTATGCTGCATCAAAACCCAGCACAGTTGACCGCACATCAACGCTCGAAGGTGTCCGCAATTTCCAGCCCAAATTCCGGGAACCTCGTTATCGATGGTGGTGGCAGTGATCCAACAAGGATTCGTCAGCTGCTGGAACTTAGTGAGGATCTCGGACGGAGGCAACGGCGCAAAAACCAACGACGATACAGACAGAAGCAGGGAGATTTGGTGGTTCAGCTCGAGGAGGACTCGCGGCAGCTACAGACAGAGATCCAGACCCTGAGGCGCCAACACCTTGGGATTCTCGCAGGCATTCCAACCAAAACCAATCACTGGAATGCAACTGCAGAATATTACCGCCTGTTTCATCGCGGACTGCAAGCGGATTCTCTCCTCAAGAACGTCCAGCTAGAGTTCGTGCGGGCAACGATGGCTGCAGACGTTGTATTCAACACAGAATATGGCACTGAGGCCTTGGTGAAGAACTGGTGTTTCTTGCAATGGTTCGAGGATGTCGCGGTGGAGCTAGAAAGATTGGAAAGGAGCTCCAAGACGTCGGTTGTTGCGACCGTGAGAACAAGCGTGACGATCACGGATCGAACTTCGGCCAGCGTGTTCCCACACCTGCTGACTCCGAAGGAAGACAACAATTTGGCAAGCAAGCTGCTGGGCCAGCGCATCTCAATGCATGGGTCCGCTCGCTTTGACTGGGGTAGTTCGATCTACCGTGTGACGAGTGTGGTATCACAGAGCGACATGTATCTATTGGGTAGTATCGAGAAGGTGAGTAAAGTTTTCGACCAGGCGCCGAGTTCCAGTGGAGACAGATGCACTGTGGTATAGCAGTACACACAAAATCGTCAGTTGTGGTAACTTGGCTACAAACACAACAATAACCGAGCTGGTCGGCGTTGTTGGCCTGCGCCGGGTTGCCCCCGAGCGATTCGGCCCAACTGGGACAGCGGGTGTCTCGCCTCTCGCCGAGAACTGCCAACCAAGATCGCTCCTCCGGAGAACCGCCGAGTTCGACGGCCTCCGTTCACTCAACCCTGTGCCCTCCACCAAAGGATGGACGACGGCGCACGGAGCGCTTTTACAGGTCGCCGAGAGCAAAGGCTTCTCGACTCAGCAATCAGTGCCCGGAACGTGCGGGAACACCGGCTCGCAGCGGGGCGAGACTTTTCCTTCGCGCTTGGCGAGACACGCGCCCAACCCGGGCCGACCTTAATCTCTTGGCGCTGCCAGCCGAGTACCCTACAAGCTATGCCTCTCGGGTACCGGCAGCAGACATAATCCGGCCCCGTGCAGGGACTTACCGGAACGTGTACACGTGCTATAGGCCTAGAAAATTCTGCTCTGTTGTTTGTTATCTCTGTCGGGCGCCCTTAAGGGGCACCTCCACTATTCCTAAGCTCCTATACAAATACCAAATGAAAGTGGGCGGTTTTGGATCTCGGCCGACCCTTCGCTGAGCTCGGCGACGCTTGAGCTTGGCTGAGCCGGATAAGCTATCCGGATAATTCTCCGAACTCGGCTGAGCCGGATAAGGTGTCCGGATAAGCTGGTGAACTCGGCTGAGCTCGGCTACCGGTACAGTGTACCACTCCAGCCGAGTTGGTCGTGCGAAATCTGGTGTTTCCTACACCACAACCGCCCCGGTCATGTTCCGAGCCGAGTTGGTGAGGGACCTGACCATCACTCCTCGAGTCGAGTCCAATCTCGGCCAAAACTCCAACGGCAGCGAACAAGTCTCCGCGCCATGTCGTCGTCCGGCGCTCCTGCCGCTCCTCCGGTACGTTCTCCGGCTCCGACGGCTCCATCCATCCTGCTGCTGACCCTTCTTCTACTGATCTTCACAGGCTTCAGTTGCGTCGGCCTTGGAGTCTTCACATCCTCCTGCGCGAGATGAGGAGTCCGCTGAGTTGGTAAACTCGGCGTCCCGGGCTCGCGGGGTCAGCGATGGGCAGGAACACCCTGTTATCGATCTGACAACTTCCCGTGAGTTCGACCGGGAGTCCGAGCCGGCATCTCGCACTTCTCCTCGCCGCTCGCCGAGTCCGCGTGGTGACACCACTTCGGGCGCCGCCGACCTTGGTCGGTCGGACTCGGCTGGGCCGGTGAGTCTCGACTCTCTCGCTGCGCTGATCCATGCGCAGTCCGAGCAACGCCGCATCGAGAACGCGGACTTGGCTCGGCTGTTGTCGTTCGTGATCACTCGTCCCGCGCCGGCGGCTGATAGAGAGGTTCGCCGAGCTGCCCTCGAGGCGACGTCCGTCAGCGAACTCGTGAGCCTCCTTCGCGGTCAGCACCAACCTCCAAGTCAAGCTAGTGACGTCGCTGCACTGAGGGTCGAGCTGGAGTCTGCTCGGACACTTGACTCGGCGGCTGGATTCACAGGCGGCTGTGAAGGCTGGCCTTGAGGAACGGTTGAAGACTGTCGAGGAAGAACGTGACCGATGGAAAGCCGAGTCGAAGAAATCGTCCCCCCTCCTGACCAGCTTCCGGAAGGCGATGGCCGAATCTGAAGCTTCCTTGAAATCGGCCCGCAAGTCTCAGGATGATAAAGTGAAGTCGGCTCTCGCTCACGCTAAGGATCTCGGCAAACAGCTCAGGGAGCGCGACTCGGAAATTGAGCGCTTGACTCAACTTCTTTCGGCTCGTCACGCTGAGTACGCTGTGCTCCAGGGGATCTCGACCAAGCACTTCGAGCAACTGCAGGAGTCGGCTCGGCTACTCATTTCTGGAGACGCCCAATCTCTCCGTGATGCCAAGGCTACTATTAAACACCAGCGTGAGGTCATCCTCCGGCAGAAGCGCGTCATTTCTCGCATGGGTCTTTTACCCATGCACGATCCTCACATGGCTGCTGCAGCTGCAGCCGGGTTGGACGCGCCTGGTTTGAGCCCTGCTGACTTGCAGCTCAATGCTCGGTTAGCCGGATCCTGGCTCAACGTTTCCCGGAGGTGATGGACATCCCGGCTGGAGAGACTCGTCGAGTCGAGTTGACCATCCACCCGCGAGCGGACGGTGCCGCTACTACTCTGCCAGCGCCCGTGAACTCGGCTGGTTCCTTCCTTGGACAATCAACTCGGCTGACTGGGGCTGAGGCTCCGGCCCCTCCAAGCGAGTCTCCCGCATCATCTGTCGCCAATCCTGTGTCGGCTGGTGCGGTTTCTACGCCTGTGTCCACTTCTGCTTCGCGCCGTCGCCGCAGCAAGTCGGTCGACCAGGTTCACTGAGCTCAGCTGGATACTCTGACGCCTGCCGAAAAATTACTTCGCTACTCAAACCCGAAGTCGGCGACGGCGGCTGGTTCTCGGCGCACGCCCAAGAAGCCACTCGAGCAGCCGTACGCGTGTCCACTTCCTGGTGAGGTCGGCCATGAAGACGCGTTGGTTCAGCTTGAAGAGGCTGCTAAAGAGACTGACGCTGCATGCGACCTATCGCTCCGGCCGAGCTTGAACTTAGCCGGGTTGGCTGTCGACGATGTGAATGTGGAGGCCGGCGACGAGATTCACTCACTGGAAGAGGACCTCTCGTTCGAGTTCAACGAAGTGTCTGATTCCGCCGAGCTTCCAGGGGGGCCCGCCGGCCCGACCGTGAGTGTGCCGCCCGTGCAACTCGTGCCTTACCCTTCCTCCCCGGTGCAGACGCCTTCAAGCGGAGTGGCAGTTGTATCGGTGCCTGGATCTGTTGACATTGCTGCAACTCCGTCCGCTTTGTCGCTTCCTGCCTCGGTTCCGTTCCCGACTTGTGTCCGGTGGGTTCCTCCCTCGACCAGCGTGCCGAGCTCGGTTGTGGTGACATCAACTGTCGGCGTCGGAGGACAACCGGGTTCCTCTGCTCCCGGTCCGGCGCTTGTTACAACGCACGCTGTGATTGCGCCGAGCTCGGCGGCTGGAGTCTCGGCTGCGGGTACAATTCACAGCTCCGCTGCACTTCCGCTTCGGGTTTCGCAGTCTTCTCCCGGCTCGGCTGCTCACCGGCTCTTGGCCTGTACTCGTTCCCAGTTTACCAATCAAGCCCAGAGTCGTCGTGGCCTGTCCGGGGTGGTATCGACTGTAGTCACCCCAATGCCGAGCACTCCGTCAGTGGTCTCGACCCGGCCAGCGGTTCTTCCGAGCTCAGCTGGGATGACTTCTCCATCGGGTCGCCCTTTACGCTCCACTGCGGCTACTGCACGAGTGTTGAACGCTCACTGCTTGGATCTGTTAGAGACTCCTGACTATCTCGTCTTCTGGTCCGCTCGGCGTAGCTCTTCCTCTTGTTCGTCGGGCTCGGCTCTTGGATTGAATGCTCCTGGGACCTCAGCACATCCGTTGTCTGTGTCCGACAGCTCTGAGTCTGAGGCTGACGACCCTGGATCTGCTGACGAGCTCAGTTCGGCCGACCCTGACGCATCTCGCCGGGCTTCGTTAGCTTCTGCGCTCCCACCTCCGCACGGGAAGCTCCAGAGCTACATGGCTGCTCGTCAATCGCCTCTCGTTCCGTCCAGCGAGTCAGGTGACTCAGGCTCACAGCCGAGTTCCAAGAAGCAGAGCGGTAAGGGCAAGCGCAAGCGGAGGCGCAAGCACAAGCTCAAGCACAAACACAAGCACAAGCACAAACACAAGTCGAAGTCGAAGTCGAAGTCGGCAGGGTCAAAGAAGTCGAAGAGGTCTGCGTCTCCGGACTCGGCTAAGGGCCTCCGCCTGTCCAAGCGTCAGCGAGGTTTGACTGGGGACTTGGCCGTCGGTCCGACTGAGGTTTCTGCCGCTTCCAGCTCGACTAAAACCTCGGCTGGGAGCTCTGGCATCCCATCGAGCTCGGCTGTTTCGCCGTCGCCTATTTCTGCTGGTCCAGCTTCAACCCTGTCGGTGCCTATCGTGACCGCTCATGACGCTGGCGCCCACGTTCTCCCTCAGTTGGCTGCAGCTTTACGCTATTCGCTCGCTCAGCTGCGCACTCGAGCTGGCCAGGCGGTCGGCCGAGATGCCCGGATCACTCCCCAGCTAGCTCAGCTGAGTGACATCCGCTTCGTTCATTACGGGTCTCGGTGGTGCTGGGAGACTATCCTCAGCCATCAAACGGCCAAGGTCACTGTGGATGACGCGTCGGGGAAGGGTAGTGTGCCGGTTACGCTCTGTTCCCTCGCTGGTATTAAAGCGTTCGCGGACGTCTACCATCCGGATCACCCGGCTCAGCGGCTCCTTCGTCTGCTTCCCAAGACTCCCATCTTCTTCTCCCCTCAAGTCCTCAACGATGCCAAGCGCCGGTTGACGAACTCGGTGAAGTCGGTGACCTTGATGGAGCGTCTCGCAGAAGTGTTCGTGAAGATCCGCGGGGAGGCTCCGAACTCGGTTTGTGACAAAGAGGGTCCTACCAAGTTCTTCGTAGCACTGTTCGAGCGGTGTCACTGGATGGTCGAGTCGAGTGTGCTGATGGGGCTACATCCGCCTTTTCACACGGGGCTTCCGTATCACGTGATAGCCGAGATGTATGACACGTGGGTGCTGTACAAGTTGGCTCGCAAGCGTCGAGGCGATGCCCTCCGAAGTCTCATGACTATCCTGCCGGACGACCTGTTCACTGCAGTGATGAAGCTTTTCGGCGGGCTTGCTGCCCCGGAAATCGACGCGGAGCTCTTCTTCGAGCCGTCGGTCCCGTTGTATCCGCTGGTCAACCTTGCTTGGATTCCTGCGGGCAGAGACTGGTTTGCTGAAGCCAAGTCTATAGACGACTCCGAGCCTTGGCGAGCTTGGTTGTTGACCGACCCAGCGACGCACCCGTACAACACCTGCTTCCGGACGCGTAACTTGGAATTCATGGTTGTCGCTCCCGCTGGTGTGGATCCGCGCCTAGTCGAGGATGCTGTCGATGAAGATGTGGACCTCGACGAGCCTGCGCCTCCCCAGATTTCGTCAAGTGCTCCGACTCCGGTCAACCGTGCAGGAATCCACATCTTCCAAGGTTGTGAAGCTGGTGAGCTCGGCTGGGCCGCTGGCGATGCGGATCCGGCGTCTCCGTTGATCGGGTCGCCTAACGTGTGCAGCCCTTCTCCCACGGCTTCCCTCTTTGGTCCGGCGTCGCCTGGGTCTCCAGCTGAGTCGAGCGCAGGATCGAGTGTCCCTCTGGCTAACAACTCGGCTATTCCGGCTTCAAGCTCAGCGGACTCGGCTGTGCAGACTGCGGGAGCAGCGGATAGCTCGGCCGGCTCAGCTACGAACACTGGAGGTTCGATTGGTCTCCTCGCAGCGGCTGCTGCTACCGTCGTGTCCTCTGCCGCGCATTCACAGGGTCCTTCGTCTCCGTAACGTGCGGCTCAGCCGCCGAGCTCTTCTTCCTTTCCCATCATTCTTCGGTGTAATTCATGTGATGTATGCAATTTGACGCAGTAGCTTCCTTCGCCTCAACTCAGCCTGCTGTCTTCACTGAGTTGGCGGGTTCATCATTTTGGTGCAATAGCTTTAGTCCTCGTCTGCAACTTGCACCATTTGCAGACGGTTTTCACGCTTCTTCTGCCGTAAGTAGTCGAACAATAATCCACCACACGACAAATTCGACAGCGGCTCCCAGGTTGGCTCATCATAGCCGACCCACTTGACCTTGAACTTCCGCTGAGTTCTGGAGGTGCTTGTAGAGAGCGGCAACTCGTCGTCCAGGATGGCTTCGACTTCGTATTCATTCATTGCTTCGTCGGGCTCCCAGCTATCTTCAGGAAGGAGTTCCTCGTCAAAGTCGAGACGATTCGACTCGGCTAAATCGGCTACTAGCCTAGTTGTCGGTCGCTCGCCGAGTCCCGTGACCGCTTTCAGACGTGACACATGTACCACAGGGTAGAAACGGTATCCGCTCTTGTCCGGGAGTTCGAGCTCGTAGGCAAACTCCTCCACCTTCTTCTTCACTCGGAATGGCCCATGCCATCGATGTGCTAACTTCTTGGTCAAGTCAGGTTTGACTCGTTCCATGAACAACCAAACTTGGTCACCTTCCTTGAATAGTGACTTCCTCGACTCGGCTAACTCGTCACCTTCCTCAGTCGACTCGGCTGCTCCCTCGGGTGAGTTCGCTGGGGTATCCGTCCCTTCCTCTCCGGCTGGGACAGCTCTCTGCTCGACTCGGCTGAGTCCGTCATTGTGTTCCTTCGCTCTCCGATTCTTCTCCTTCAACTGGAACTCGGCCGCAAGCTTCAAAGCCACCTCTCTCTGTCGGTTTGCTTCCCTGCGCCATTCGGCTGCCCTCGTTGAGTCAGCTGAGTTGCCCCTGCCGAGCCTGACTGACTCGGTCATCGCCTTGCGTGTAGACCGAGCGCCCCATCCGTGTACCAGGTAGAACGGGGTCTCCCGCCGAGTCGAGTCTCTCGAATTGTTGATGGCATGGACGAGCTTCTCGGCTACGTCATCCCAGTCGGCTTGGAGAGGGTCTTCCACGTACACACGCACAGTCTGGATCATGGTCTTCACTGAGCGTTCTTGCCGACCGTTGGCTTGTGGCCGGTAACTCAGCGTCGCTCTCGACTTGGACTGCATCATCTCCGAGAACTTCTGGAACACTTCACTCATGAACCGGGGATCTCTGTCGTGGCGCACCAGTGATGGAGTTCCAAATGTCCGGAAGACGTTCTCTTCGAAGGCCTTCGCTACCTCAAGTGCCCCAGTCTCACTCATCGCCTTAGCAATCACGAACCCGGTGAAGTGGTCTTGAAATAACAGGAGTGCAGTGTTGCCCCGCCGAGTCTTCGGCAGTGGTATGACAAAGTCCATCGATACCACGTGGAACGGTCGCTCAGACACTACGTTGCCAGGTGAATAGCCCTTCAGGTGCGGTTTGCTCTTACTGGTACTGCAGTCTTCGCACGCTTGGACATGTTTGACCACGTCTGCGTTCATCCCAATCCAGTAGTAGTCGGCTCTGACCCTGTGGTATGTCCGCACAATCCCTTGGTGGCCTCCCTCGATGGAGTTGTGGCAGTTCTACAGGACCTAGTCTATCATGGTCGTCGGAACCACCAGTCGAAGGGATAAGCCTAGTTCGCCGAGTTGCCAGGTGGTCTGGCCTTGCCTTGTCGGTACAGTAGCCCGTCTTCGCTGAGCACAAACTCGTCGGCAACTTTCCCAGCGTTGTGAGCTCGCCGATGTGTGAGCTGCGCATAATCCCCTCTCAGGTAGGTCTTCAAGTCGGCCCATCGTTGTTCCTCGTCTTGAGCTCTTGCTATTCGCAGGCGGCGCTCAGCTTGGTCCACTACCGGATCGATGTCCATGGCGTTGGGCTCCCGGGCTTCTCCGAGCTCGGCTACCAGCTCAGCTGGGTTCGCTGGTGGTGCTGCGCTACCGAACTCGGCTTCTCCCGTCACCCGCTGTCTAGCAGGCGGAGGTCGGCTATCTCGTTCAAAGTTATTACGTTCGGCTTCCTCATTCGTAGCTGGGTTCGGGACTGGGTGTTCTGCCGCTTCGTCTTCGAAACGGACTCGGCGGACTTGACTCCTTGTCACGGCAGCCATCTCAACACCCTCGGCCGAGGCTGCAGCCGAGTCAGTGTCCACGTACAGGACCTCAGAGATCCTGTTTAGGGTCTTCAACTCGGCTTTCCGTCCGGCGCTTAGCACGACCTTTCCTGCTTTGGTTTCCAGTGGTTCGGTCGCTAAAGAGTCAGCAGCCGAGTTGTAGAGACGCACTACGTGGAGGTAGCGAACTGAATTCAGCTTGCTGACCAATTTCTTGTGGCGTGCTAACTCGACTTGCAATGCCTCCTTCTTACACGCGATCACCCCTATGGATTGCTGGATCGCTCGCCCACGATGATCAAATCCGTCACCCCGCGCTCAATGGCCGAGGTCACTCCATTGTTCATGCCGGTGTACTCGGCTATATTCACCGTAGTCGATGGGAGGTGCGCGCTCGCAGCGATCTCAATGTTCCAGTCTGACAAACGCCACAGGGTCCAAGAACAACTCCCGAACCCGCCGTGTTTAGCAGTCTTCGCCGATCCGTCAAACGACAGGACGTGTCCCTTGAAGTCTCGGGGCACATGCGCATACGGCAATTCTGGGTCCATGCGGACCACAGCCGAGTTCTTGGACGGTGGAGCGACATGCGTTAGTAGCTCGTCCAATCCCACTGCCGACGTGATGGACGCTTGGAGCAACTGGGCGAAATCCGTGTCCCGTTTGCGGACCCGCATGACCTTTAGGTGGAACGGTGATAGCAGTACCGCAAAGCTGACTGCTCTGACGTAGAGATACTTCGACTGGAACACCCATTCGAGGGTCGAGTAGCGGGTGTAAACGTGGATGGTCTTCCCGGCTAGCAGCGTGTGGCACACTTTGATGAGTTGCAGCAATGCGAGCACCTCTTTCTCGGCGGGATGGTAGCCGAGTTCATTATCCTTGAGGACTCGGCCGCAGAACCGCGCTGGATGGAGCTTCCCGTCGTGGAGCTGCATCAGCGTGCTACTCAGAGCCCACTCATTGGCGAATAGCATAACGTGGACGTCCTCAGCCGAGTTGAAGTGGCGGAGTATGGGTGCGTCGACCACCTTCTGTTTTAACTCGGCGAACGCCGCTTTTGCGGCCGTCAGATCACCGCCGGGTCCGAAATCTTCGTCCTTCAGCTGATAGAGGGCCGCCCCATATACAGCCAGGTTCTGGATGAACCGGCCGTAGTAGTTCAGCGCTCCTAAGAATGCTTGCATCCCCTTCTTCGTCGTCGGGAACGGTAGCCCGGCTATCGCCAGCATCTTTTTCTGGTCGGCTTGGATTCCAGCCGAGGTCACCCCATGTGACAGGAAGTCGACTTTAGGTTGGACGAAGATGCTTTTCGGGAAGCTGACGCTGATGCGGCATTCAGTGAAGCGTGGCAGCAATCGGTCAAGCGTCCCCAAGCAATCGTCGAACGTCCTCCCACCGTAGCAGATATCGTCCACAAACAATCGCCGGTCGATAACCGGTGCAAGGCACGATTCATCAGGTTCACCCGTCCGGAACATGTCCGCTTCTGGGCTGTTAATGATTTCTTCCAACGGGTCAAACTCAGCTTGAGCTCGGCGGTCGGCCTCAAACTTGGTCTGGCCACTGGCTTCAAAGTCGATGTCGGCTGCGAGCCGTTTCCGCTGAGCTTCTGAGGCGGCTTCCGCTTGTTGGATGCGCTTGGCGAACACCTTGTAGCCGCCCTTGGGTTGTACGTAACCCCACAGAGCGTTATCAATAAGGCGCTGGTAGATCATCGGGGTATTCTTTAATCCGAAGGGCATCCGCAGCCACTCGCAGTGGCCAAGCGCGCAAACAAAAGCCGAGATCCAAAACGCGCCCGTCGAGTCATCATGACCGCCCAGAAACCGCTAACAGCATCCAAAGAGCAGAACCATAGGTACGCTTCCAACTCCGTGAGGAGATCGTCCACTAGCGGCATGACGTACTCCATGAGCAACGTAATCGCGTTTACCAGCCTGTAGTCGATACACAGCCGAATGTCGACCCCATTCTTCTTTAGGTCAATCACGATGGGTGATGCCCATGGGCTGTTCGAGAAGGCAATTAGCCTAGCTCGTAACAGCGCCTTGAGCAGCTCGTACAACTTGCCGAGATGCTTCAGCGGAACTCGGCGGGCTCGTTGGCGGATTGGCGGGTGCCCCTGTACGTCGATGTCGCACACTACGCCGTATGCTGGTGGAGGTAGGGCATTACCACTGGAGATCATGATCTTTTCATGGCTCTTCAATACTTCCACCAGCCGAGTAGACTGTGGCCGAGTGTGCGCCGAGCTCCGAACGTTTGGCGCTTCATAGTCGAGTGGCGTCGACACCGCTTCAGTCAGATCGGGCAGGAACGCCAACTCGCGAGCATAGTCTTCGAGCTCCAAGTTCGTTGCTTGGTGCTCGAACTCGGCTGAGCCTCCCGCCGAGTCGCCTCGGCCATCTGTCTCTTCCTCGTACTTGGCTGCCAGAAGATAACGTAAGCGCAGGTCTTCCTCCGGGTCTGACGACATGGGCTCGTCGCTCACATCGACCTCATCTTCGAGTCTTGGACTCGGCGGCTTGGGCCCGGGGTCGTCTATGATCGTCCAGTCAGACAAATCGCTGGATTGCTCACTTTCACACTCATCTGCTGCACAGTCCAATTTATCAGCGGCATCGTCGTCGTGGCGAACCAAAGCCTCGGTGTTTTGGCTGGGCGCTTCTTGACCAGCCGTCACTGTGATCTCTGCTCGACTAGGCGGGTCATTGACCAAGTCAGCAGTAGGCTCCGCGCCCAATGTTATTTCCTCAGGCGCTAGGGTAGCGGTAGCCGAGTTCGCTGGCTCTGTCAGAGTCGAGGGTG